AGTGGATGAGGGGGATCGGCCAAGGGGATGGGGTTTGCTTTGGTGGAGCATCTCTGGGTGGTGGCACCAGGATGGGCAGCTGTCAGTCAAGCCCTGTGGGCAGAACGGTAGCCTGGGCCATTGCAAGCTGCCAGGTGCCTCCTGCCAGCTGAGCTGCGGCAGCTCCGCTTGCTCCTAACCTTTTGCAGGTACAAAGCTAAATATAGTGGCTTAAAAGACCGCAGAGGTGGGTTAAGGCGAAGTGTTTAACTTGGCAGTTTGGGGAGGCTGAAAGCATGTGCCCAGCCAGCTGCCACCTCTCGGCGAAGAGCAGGGCTGTGCCCAGCGCCTTGGTCTCCTGGGGATCTGCTCTTCTGGGTGGCATTGCTGCCTGCTGCCGTTCTCGTGCCTGTCCTGCCAGGGAAGGCGAGCAGGAGCACGGAGGGGCTGGCGCTGGGTCAGGCCATGTAGCTGCTGCTCCCTCATGTCTTCCTCGCTGTTCCCCAGCTGCAGCATGGAGGAGGTGGAAGGGCAAGTCATGGCCAGCCGTGGCAAGGGGGGAGCCATGGGGGCTGCGGCCAGGCTGGCATCCCTCCTGAGTCACCCCTCAGCCCCAATCTTTGAGCAGCAGCTTTGCAGGGACCTTTAGGAGGTTCAGGGGACATGCCATTTCCAAAGGACGTCTGTGTCCAGGTGCTGGCTTGGCCGTCAGCATGGTGTCCTCCCCTCTGCAGAACTAACCTCTAAATTTACTTCTAACCCACTGCTTTTTCCTGGCTCTTCTCCCATATCCCAGCTGGCTGCTTCGGAGCTGGCTGCTCAGGGTGCTGCTGACAAGGTTCCTGGTGACGAGGAACGCACTGTCCCACCACGGGGCTTTTCCCAGGCACTTCTCCCCACTTTTGACCAGAGGGGCTGCCTGCAGGGTCTGTGTCCCGGCTCCCATCCCTGGGGAATACTTTTGCCTTCTGCTCTCACGTCTGTCCCTGCCCATGTCCCAGGAGCTGGCCCTGGCAGGCAGGAGCTGGCACTTCGCCCTCTCACTGCTTGCAAGTGCTGCCATCCCTCCAGGATGCCCTGAAGCCCATTTCCCATCCTGACACGCCTGCGTCAGCTTCTGCTTTAAAATTTCTCCAGTAAATGTGTCTGGGGGTGAGAGAAGGCGATGCAGCTCGGGGTGGGCTCCTCCTGCGAGGTTGCCCTCTTAGCTACAAAGCTGCTTGAAGGGTTTGGGCTGTTCTCTGGCCTGAGCAGGGCAGATGTTGGCTTTTCTCTCCATGCGGCTGTCAGGTGTCCCCCAGCCTGGATCTGTCCTGACCTGCTTGTTGGGAAGCAGGAACAGTCTCTGGCTGCTTCAGACCTTGACCGAAGCCCCTCCTGGGACAGTGGTCAGGGCCGTGTTGGAGAGCAGAGCTGTCCCAGACACATCTCCCATGGCACCATGTCCCTGCAAGCCATGGAGGACGGGGAACTGGTCCCTACGGGTCTGTGTCTTACATCACCAGCTTTTTTTGGCATGAGGCTTGGTCAAGCGCAAGACCCAGCTCAGGGTCACACCTCATCTTGGGTGTGCCGTGCTGGGTACCTGCCTGGCTCCCTTTACTGCTCCTCTCCCAAGGAAGGTCCCCATGCAGGTCTCCTCCAAAGTGAGGCTGTCTCTTGCCAGCGGGGCAGTTTGAACCTCCCCCTTCCCTCTTCCTCCCAGGTCCTCTACCACCTCTTTGAGGAGTTTGCCAACTTCGAGCAGGTGACCATTATCGATATCATCCTCGGCTTCCTCAGCTTCTTCGTGGTGTCGTTGGGTGGTGTCTTCGTGGGCGTCATTTATGGGGTGATCGCTGCCTTCACCTCCCGCTTCACCTCCCACATCCGAGTCATCGAGCCCCTCTTCGTCTTCCTCTACAGCTACATGGCGTATCTCTCTGCTGAGCTCTTCCACCTCTCTGGCATCATGGCGTGAGTTGGGCACGGGTGGGATAAGATGTCCTCCTGTCCTCAGGACTATTTGGAGGATTTACTCTGGTGTAACTACATCTCTCTGGCTGTCCCAGCGTGGCCAGTATATGCCCAGTGAGGGCCAGAGGTGTTTTTGGGCTGGGATGTGCAGGGAGGCACATGAGGGAAGCGTGACTCTCTTGAGTTGTCCCACAGATCCTGGGGTACTGGCAGCCCATTGCCCATTCTCCTGGGCAAGACAACGTGGTTTTGTACTGCCTGGCTCCGATGTTCACTCCTGCCCTGCCAGGAGGAAGGAGAAACCTTGTGTTGCCTTCTCTGGAGGCCTTGAATAATTGCTGGTGTCTCGCAAGCAGTGTCCTGCTCTGGGAGTTAGTATAAGAGCACAACACGCTGCTGCAAGGCCAGCGCTTGGGGCTGTCCCCATGGCTGCTGAGTGCCCCGACCTTGCCCCTAGGCTCATCGCCTCTGGCGTGGTCATGCGGCCCTATGTGGAAGCCAACATCTCCCACAAGTCCCACACCACTATCAAGTATTTTCTCAAGATGTGGAGCAGCGTGAGTGAGACCCTCATCTTCATCTTCCTGGGTGTCTCCACGGTGGCTGGCCACCACTACTGGAACTGGACCTTCGTCATCAGCACACTGCTCTTCTGCCTCATCGCAAGAGTTTTAGGTGGGGTGCCAGTGTGGTGGCAAAGTCCTTGGGGACAGTCCTGGGTGATGGGCAACTCTTAGGGCCACGAGGCCCAAGTTTGCCTTGCTGGGGAGACTAGAGTTGACTTGGTGGCACTGCTCCACCGTGGGCATCAGCCTTGCTGGTGGTTGGCTTTGTGGAGAGGTGGGGTTAAGGCTGTGTTTGTGCTAGACATGGAGTTGAAGCTCATGAGATGAGCAAGCAGGAGAGCACCCACCTGCACCCATGGTGCCAAGGAGGTGACACTGTGCTGGGCTGCAAGCTGGGGGTGATCTCTTTGGGGCATCCTTCACCGTTCACTCACACAAGGCCCTGCCCCACTCCCCCAGGCGTCCTGGTCCTCACCTGGTTCATCAACAAGTTCCGAATCGTGAAGCTGACGCCGAAGGACCAGTTCATCATCGCATATGGGGGCCTGCGGGGAGCCATCGCCTTCTCCCTCTGTTACCTCCTGGACTATAAGCATTTTGGCATGAGGGACATGTTCCTCACAGCCATCATCACGGTCATCTTCTTCACAGTTTTCGTGCAGGTTGGTGGCACGCAGGTGGTCATGGTGCAGTTTCAGAGGGAAAGGGGGTTATTCAGCGAACCGCATGTGTGTTTGGAGAGTGAGGAGCATGTCCCCAGCCTCCATCCCTGGCCCTGTCACTGTCCCCCTTCTCCAAAAGCTATGGAAGCTGCCAAGTGACACTGGCAGCGTGGAGCCCTGTGGTTCGGCTGTGCTGAACCCATCCCACTCCCACCAGTGTGCCTTGGGGAGAGGTCTGACCCCCCCTCCCCATTCCCTAGGGCATGACCATCCGGCCCTTGGTGGACTTGCTGGCCGTGAAGAAGAAGCAGGAGACAAAGCGCTCCATCAATGAAGAGATCCACACGCAGGTAACCCGCTGCACCCGGCCGGCCCTTCGCGCGTGCTTCTCTTCGCTGCCTTAGCCCTCTTCTCTCTCTGCTTCTGCCACCTCCACCGCTGTAACCAGGCGGGTTTACAGAGCAGGAGCTGCCCCTAGATCGGTGCCCAAGGTAAGGGGGGACGGAGCGAGGGCTCTCCCCCATCTGTGTCGTCCAGTGCCCGCTCCGACCCAGATCTCCCCTGTGCCTGGTAGAGCAGCAGCCCGGTTGTGTAGGACCGTGCTGCCCTCCTGAGGCCCATCCTGGACCCACAGCCCTGCTTTTGCACCCCATGAGTGCCCTCACCCCTGTGTCAGCGTGGGTGTCGGGGTAGGGAGAGGGGTGGGCAACAGCCCTGCGAGCTGCCTACTCCTTGGACCTTCTTTTCCAGTTCTTAGATCACCTTCTGACGGGGATCGAGGATATCTGTGGTCACTATGGGCATCACCACTGGAAGGACAAGTGAGTGGGGAGGTTTGGTGATGTGGGGGGCCTGTGGGGGAGATGGGGGTGGGTTTGAATCACCAGCCGGCAGATTCCTCATCCCTGTGCCAGGTTTTTCCCCGAGCTGTAATACCCACACACGCTCCCCTTGATGAAGGATGGCCCTGGGTTGGGTGCGAGTGAGGCTGCAGGGCTGCACCCCTTTGCCATGCCACCATGTCCACTGCGGTGTGGGAGCTGCTGATGGCCGGTCCCTGCAGGAGCTCGGGACCATCCATTGTGGGTGCAAGCAGCTGCTGGGTGTTTCAGAGGCTTCCTCGCTCAACTCGGGAGTCGGGGAAGGCTGGCCTGACCTGCGCTGGTGGGAACTGAGCCATCTATGGGCCAGGAATGGGGAGCGGGGAGTGGGTGCCGGGGCAGGGGAGGTCTGATGTATCGCTGCTCCTCCTTTCCCCATGTCCTCGGAAAGGCTGAATCGCTTCAACAAGAAGTATGTGAAGAAGTGCCTGATTGCAGGGGAGCGGTCCAAGGAGCCGCAGCTCATCGCTTTCTATCACAAGATGGAGATGAAGCAGGCAATCGAGCTGGTGGAGAGCGGGGGCATAGGCAAGATCCCCTCCGCTGTCTCCACTGTCTCCATCCAGTGAGTTCCCCGGCCCTGGCCACCCTGTGTATCTGACAGGCCACTGACACCGGCTGAGAGCTCCCTGCTAGTGGCCGCAGGGCCAGCAGCCATTCGGTCCTGCCGTGGCCATCACAGTGTCACTCTGAATTCTGTCTGTCCACGCAGGAACATCAACCCTAAGACCCTTCCCGTGGAGCGCATCCTTCCAGCCCTGTCCAAGGACAAGGAGGAGGAGATCCGGAAAATCCTTCGCAACAACCTGCAGAAAACCAGGCAGCGGGTAAGGTGTCCCCTAGCGCCGTGCGTGCCCCCTTTGCTTCCCTGCGGGTGGCCAGGACCACTTCCAACCAGAAGCCCTCAGGGCCAACTGGGCTTGTCACCGCCAGTGTCCCTGCCCTGCTGTCCCTTGTGTTCCTGGTCTGGCTATCCCTCCCCAGGGAGGCTTTTACTGGATGGTGCTTGGATAGTGCTGAGTCCCATGGTATCACACAAGGGACGAGCCACCAGCTTGCCTGGATGTGCTCTGCCCACTGGTGGCTGGTTCATCCATCTTCAAGGGAAACGGTGCCGTGACCTTCCTTTGCCTTTCTGTGTGGTTTTTTTTTTTTTTTAACCTGTCTCCTTTTCTTGGGGCCTTTTCCCAGTTGCGATCCTACAACCGGCACACACTTGTGGCTGACCCCTACGAGGAAGCCTGGAACCAGATGCTCCTGCGGCGGCAGAAGGCCCGGCAGCTGGAACAAAAGGTGTCAAGGGGATGCTGGAGCAGGGATGCTGCCGCAGGCTGGGGAGGATGGGGGGCTGAGGCGGGGCTTCCCGGCCTGGGAAGGACATCGGTGTCCTCTACGGGAAGGGGGCTGAGGTTCAGATGACAGTGGATGACCCCAAGCTTTGGAGGTCCTCTGATTGCCCCAGGCTCCGAGCAAGTCTTTGCAGCATGGCTGGGAGGATGCGTGCACGCGTCCCCTGCATCCCGCTGCTGCTTCTCGCTCATCCCCATGGCCTGGGGTCAATTCCCTGCCTCCCCTTCCCCATTTATCCTGGCCACTCCGATGGAGATGCTCTCTGTGCTCCGATTCCAGATGAACAACTACCTGACGGTGCCGGCTCACAAGCTCGATTCACCCACCATGTCCCGCGCTCGCATAGGCTCAGGTAGGTGGGACTGAGCTGCTGGGGGAGCGCCGCTGCCGGCACCTGGCTCGGTGTCACCGGCACTTCAGTGCTGAAACACTTGGCGGTTGCTTTGTCCTGCACCCCCTTAGCTCTTCTGCGTCTCTCCAGCCCCAATCGTCCCCATCCCGCTCCCCGGTGTGCGATGCAGCCGAGCCCCGGGGGTTTGCTGTTCTCAAGCCCAAGCTCTGCTGTCTGCAGCCCGGGCACGTGGTGGGCTCTGCCTGAGCAGAGGCACCCGGCTCGCTTCCTGGCACGCTTCCCACCAGGAAGTGAGTGTGGCCAGGGCGTAGATCTGTCCGGAGCTCAGCTCGCTCCATCCACGCAGCCGCATTTCTGGCCATGCGTCTCCCTGCCCTCTGCAGGGGCGAGCACCAGGAGTGCTCAGCCCCAAGACCTGCCCCTGGAGTCCTGGCTTCTCCAGCACACGTTTTTCTCTGCCATCTTTGGTTTCTCCTGTCCTATGTGTCCTTCCCTGCTTTGGGGACAGTGTGACGGGGTGTGACGCTGCTGCTGGCGCTGCCGGCACCGGCGGTTAATCAGCAGAGGGCAGCTTTGCCCCTTGCGAATGGCGCAGTCCTGGGAAGCAGGGCTGGGCTGTCTGGAACAGCTCCAGATGGGATGTGTAGATCAGAAAAAGAGGAATTTAAAAAAAAAAAAGAATTAAACTGCAGACTTGGGAATTGGAGAGAGTGTGAGCCCAGGCGTCCCAGCCCCAAACATCTGGGGTGTGTTAGCTGGGGGACCCCGAGACCCCCTTTCCTTTCCCCAGGTTATCCTGGCCCAGTTTGTTCATGATACCATGAGACAAGCCCTGCCTGACCCCTCTCTGCCTCCCCAGATCCGCTGGCCTACGAACCCAAGGCGGACTCAGACTTGGGAATTGGAGAGAGTGTGAGCCCAGGCGTCCCAGCCCCAAACATCTGGGGTGTGTTAGCTGGGGGACCCCGAGACCCCCTTTCCTTTCCCCAGGTTATCCTGGCCCAGTTTGTTCATGATACCATGAGACAAGCCCTGCCTGACCCCTCTCTGCCTCCCCAGATCCGCTGGCCTACGAACCCAAGGCGGACTCGGAGTACCTGCTCCTCATCACACCCGAGGAGGATGAGGAGGGGCTGGTGATGCGGGTGAAGGAGCCTTCCTCCCCGGGTACTGACGATGTCTTCACCCCGGGGACCGGCGACAGCCCCAGCAACCAGCGGATGCTGCGATGCCTGAGCGACCCGGGCCCTCGGCCGGAGCCGGAGGAGGGGGAACCCTTCATCCCCAAGGGGCAGTAGCAGTTGGCGCGCGAAGCCTCACGCGCCTCTGTACGGTTTCTCTCTCTCTTCATTTGGTCTTTCTTTGCTCTCCTTTTTGGTTTCCTCTGTCACTACACACCGGGTTCGGGAAGGGGAGACCATCCTGGATGGACTGGGATTGCCAGGACAGCTCTGCCCAGCAAGGCCGTGGCTTGCCCCCGAGGAGCGGGGAGGGAGCCCTTGGGACACAGCGGGCTCCTCGGCTGCCATGGCCTAGGGCTGACGGACAATTTACCGCCCAGGACTGGGATTTGCAGGTGCCTCACAGCCCCAGCGGGGCTTTCCCGGAGGCTGAAAAAAGGACCTGCGAGCGGCTCCTCGGAGCTGGTGCAGGGTGGGCTCCAGCCGGGGAGCTGGGGGTGTCCGCGGAGGCTGCCCTACGGCACAGCTTCGCCTCTCCCCGGCTTGCGTTTTACCTGCCCCCTCGCCTTGCTCTGGAGCGGAGCGATGGGAAGACGGGAGCCAGGCTCTGCGCCGGGGCTGACGCACCCACCACCTCACCCGGCACCCTCCCGGGGACCTCGGGCTCCTGCCGCTGCTCCCCT